GCTAACAAACCGGATGAAGGCGTGTGGTGAAGCATTAGCGGATCTGCGGAAGATAGAAAAGATATTAAGATCTCTAATTGCAGATTTTGATTACTTTGTTGTAACAATCGAAGAGGCCAAGAATCTATCTGAGATGAAGTTAGAAGAACTTCAAGCTTCTTTGGAGGCTCATAAAATGAGGCTGCAGTAAAGAAACTTAGAAAAGGGAGAAGACAGTTGAACAAGCATTGCAATCAAGATTCAGCAAGAAAGCTGGAAAAGAGAAATCGAAGCAGCATAAGAATCTTGCTGGTGATGAGAAGTCAAACAAGAATACTGATTCGAAAGGAGTGTGCAACAAGTATTCTGAGAAGAAAGTTGACACGAAAAGGGTGCAATGTTACAATTGTCAAGGTTTTGGCCACTATGCTAGAGATTGTCGAAGCAAGAAAGCTACAAGGTCGAAAGATAGTGATGAAGCTCAATATGAAAGAGCTGGAAGTAGTGATTCTGATAATGTGTTGTTTCTGGTGAACACTCAATCGAACACTGAGAAAAACAACATGTGATATCTGGATTCAGGATGTAGAAACCACGTGACTGACAATAAAAAATGGTTTACCAAGTTAGATGAGTCAGTCGAAAAGGTGATAAAGTTTGCAGATGGCAGGCATATCAAATCAGGTGGTAGATGAGACATTTCGATTAACAGGAAGGATGGTCGAAAGGCCATTATCACTGAAGTTCTGTATGTATCTTCGATGACAAGTAACTTGATAAGTGTAGATCAATTACTTGCAAAAGGCTTCAATATGAAGTTAGAGAATAATCAGATGAAGGTGTATAGGGCTGATGGGAGGCTAATCATGAAAGCACCATTAGAGGAGAACAAAACTTTCAAAGTCGAACTCAACACTTCAGATGACAAATGTCTTGCTTCAAATGTAGAAGAAGACAAGAACTGGCTATGACATCACAAGTATGGACATCTAAACTTCAAAAGTTTATGTATGCTCAATCAGAAGAAAATGGTGCTTGGGTTGCCGTATGTGAAGGAACCAAAGCAGATATGTGAAGAATGTTGCAAAGCTAAGCAGACAAGGAAGGAATTCAAACGCGATTTGCCTATAAGGTCAAGACAAAAACTGGAGCTGGTTCATTCAGATGTGTGTGGACCTTTCGAAGTAAAATCCAATGGAGGTAACAGGTATTTCCTTACTTTCATTGATGAATTCACCAGACATGTGTGAATTTACCTCATTCAAAGGAAGAGTGAGGTATTCACACAGTTTAAGAAGTTCAAGTTGCATGCTGAGAAACAAAGTGGCTGCAAATTGAAAAAGTTAAGAACTCATGGGGGTGGTGAATATACTTCAGCAGAATTTGCCAGATTTTGCAATGAGGAAGGTATAAAGCATGAGATTGTTGCACCCTATACGCTTCAACATAATGGCACCACTGAGAGAAAGAATAGAAGTGTACTAAACATGATCAGATGTATGTTGAAAGCTAAGAATATGTCTAAGAGTTTTTAGGCTAAAGCAGCTTCGATAGCAGTATACATTTTAAAGAGATGTCCAACGAAGAAGATGGTCGAAAAGACACCACTTGAGGCTTGGACAGGGTCGAAGCCAAATGTAAGTCATCTTAGAATTTTTGGATCAATGTGTTTCAGGCATGTACCTGAACAATTGAGAAAGAAGCTGGATGATCAAAGTGAAGTCATGGTGCTCATAGGTTATCATTCGACTGGTACATACAAATTGTATTCACCAATCGAAGATAAACTAGTGATCAGTAGAGATGTTCTTGTAGACGAAAGCAAAGGATGGGATTGGAGTCAAAGTGCAGTTCGACAAGAATCAGACACAGTCACAACTGTGTTCGAAGAAGATGAAGCTTCGACAATTCAAAATGAACAAGGTGATACTTCAAATGGCCGAAATGAAGAACCACCTGTGCAGAACGAAAGAAGATCTGCAAGAACAAGAACTGAGTCAACTAGGCTGACTGGATATGAGAAGTTTCCAGATCAAGCAATAGATGTTGCTGGTGACTTAATCGAAGAAGCCATGATGATGCCTGAAGCAGAACCAATTGACTTGGGTGAAGCCTTGAACAATTCGAATTGGTGTGAAGCCATGAAAGAAGAACTTAGAGCCATTGAGAAGAACAACACTTGGGAACTTGTCGAAAGAACCAACAAGAAACCAATTGATGTGAAATGGATCTACAAGGTGAAACAAAGGCCAAATGGTGAGATTGCAAAGTACAAGGCAAGACTGGTGGCCAGAGGTTTTCTATAACAACCAGGTATTGACTTCGATGAAGTGTATGCGCCTGTTGCTAGGATCGAAACAATCAGGATTGTTGTTCCGATAGCTACATATAGAGGATGGAAAATGCACAAACTTGATGTGAAGTCGGCATTCTTGAATGGGCCTCTGGAAGAAGAAGTCTATGTCACTCAACCACCATGCTTCAACGTCAAAGGGCAGGAGTCGAAGGTTTACAGATTGAGGAAGGCTCTCTATGGCTTGAAGCAAGCTCCTAGAGCTTGGAAGAAAATGATAGATAGCTTCCTAATTGAATCAGGGTTCACAAAGTGTGTCTTTTAACATGAAGTGTATGTAAATGATGTCGAAAGTGCCAACCGAATCATTTTATGCCTCTGTGTTGATGACTTACTCATTACAGGAGCAGATGAAGCTGAGATAATGAAGGTAAAGTCAAAGTTAATGCAAGAATTTGAAATGTCTGATTTAGGGAATCTTTCCTACTTCTTGGGAATGGAATTCAAAGACATCGAAGGAGGAGTTTTCTTGCATCAAATCTAGTATGCTCAAGATATATTGAAGAGGTTCAATATGAGCAACTGTAAGGCAGTTGTTACTCCATTAGAGATTGGAGCAAATCTGAAGAAGGAATCAAATAATGACTTTGTAAGTTCGACCCTTTACAAACAAATCATTGGATCATTGAGGTATCTTTGTAATACTAGACCAGATATCTGTCAAACTGTGGGATTGTTGAGCAGATTTATCGAGAAGCCTCAGGAATGTCATCTCATTGCAATAAAGAGGGTGTTGAGATACATCAAGGGAACTGTTGATCATGGTGTGTTGTTGCCAAAAGGATCGAAGAAAAGTACAGAGGTCGAAGTGCATGGATACACTGACTCAAATTTCAGTGGAGATCAAGATGAAAAGAAGAGTACTGCAGGGTACATCTTCATGATCGAAGGAGCTCCAATCTCCTGGAGTTCGAGGAAGCAAAGCATTATGGCTTTGTCTTCATGTAAAGAAGAATATGTGGTTGCATCATACGTTGCATGCCAAGCAGCATGGATCGAAATGCTACTTGAAGAGTTCAGAATAATGGTGTCGAAGATGAAGTTGTTTGTTGATAACAAATCAGCAATAAATCTTGTGAATCACTCAATGTGTCATGATCGAAGTAAGCACATTGAACAAATGTATCATTTTCTGAGAGACCAAGTAAACAAAGGGAAGCTTGAAATAGAACATTGCAAGACAGAAGTGCAACTAGCTGACATATTCACCAAACCTCTGAAGAAAGTGAGATTCGAAGAGTTAAAAAAAGGCATTGGGATGAGAAGTCTTGATAACATGAATTAAGGGGGTGTGTTAGTTGATTAATTCTTGTTAGTTGCTATTTGAGCTTTTCTTGTATTTAGGCTTGGGCTTGTTGTCTATATAAAGGGTCATTACTTTGTAATTCACATATACTGCAGCAACAAAATAACAGTTTTAATTTTAAAGAGTTAGTTACACTAACTAACTCAACAATCTCTCTTCTTCTTCTTCTTCTTCTTCTTCTTCTTCTTCTTCTTGTTTTTCACTATATTCATCTTTCTTGAACCCTTTGTTCCAATAGTAAATGATAGATAGTTCCCTCCCGGGATGACATGTTAGTATGGACAAAGTATATTGGTAAACACCAATGGTATTATTGTTGTTATTATTTGTTCTAATATTGCAAATAGAATTAGCGGGAAGAAAGATAAATTGATTATGGATTGTGAGAGATGAGAAAACTACAAGAAGAATAATTCCTCTCAAGGCATTTGTAGTATGTAAGTTAAGTGTACATTTGAGTTGAAATATGTGTCAATTGGTAGCGGTTGGAAGATGCTGGGTAAGTGTGAATTTCATAATCGTAAATTAGTTATAGATTTAGATGGTCATGATATATTAGGCCATTTAAAACATGATAAAAGATAGATTGTGAATGACATGACAAAATATAATATAATTTTTCAGAGACATATAGTTGCTCCTTTGAAAGCTAAAGATCTAAAAAATCTAATGAACGTTACGCATGTGTACAATATAAAATTTACGTATATAGGACGAACAACAAAAGTTCATTGTTTAAAATGCTATGTTTGTGCAGTTCAGATCCGGATGAAAGCAAATCAATATTAATTTAAATAACCTAAATTAATATTTTTAATTAAAATAAAATTCAATATAAATAAAATACTAATATATGAAATAAAATTGTGAAACTCAATATTAACTTTTTTATAATTATACCATTAAAGTCAAAATTAAATAAGTTGTTTCAATGGCTTGAGTCCAATTAAAGAAATCCAAAGATGTTGTTTAAGTGAGGCTAAGAAAAAGGAGCAAATGTACATTATTGGTTACATAAAGTATTGTAAATTCAACCAAATGCTAAATAAGCCGGTCTTGTTGCAATTTTTTCAACCCAACATCAGGTTGCAATTTCTGTTATTCATCAATTAAAATTAAGTATTGAAAATTATGGATTTGAATCCTCTCATATTCTTTTTCTTTTGGTTCAGCCCTCTCTCCTTTTCTTAATCTATTAATTGATTGCCACATATAAAAAAATAAGAGTACAAAAGATAGAAAAAATTAGACAAATAGGTTATATAAGTGCATGACATAAACATGAAACAAAAGATATGAGAGGATTGAAATCCTGCTCAAAAAATTTATTACGTGCTTTAGAAGTCACTTACCAATACCAAATCATTGACTCAGCTGGCCTACTGCATCTGGCTGATTCGCTGGCAAAGTCTCTCGGAATGTCGGGATATCATAATATGTCTCATGTAGTCTTGAAAGAATAGGAAACTCATTCTGCTTTGACAGTTAATGGAAAAGTAAGTCATCTGATGAATTTGGGCAATGGTATCACACACATGACTGGAAATTTTACTAGAGAATAAAACAGGTTTCAAAATTTTTGAGTTCTACAATGACTGGCTTTATCTTACGAAATTTTGTAATCAAACACATCAGAACTAAGAGTAAGGTTAACTCATCTTTTTCACATTCATACTATTAGCTTATTCCCTCACAAAAAATATACACTAAATCATAGAATATTACCATGTCAATGTTGAATCTCTTAGATGCAGCATGTAACTGAGGTGCTAAAAATGTATCCCCCCTGCAAATGATAACAAACATGTTAGATTATACATCAGTGATCATACATTCAAATAGTTGACATTGCTAGCCAAGATTTTTGGGCTACTAGACCCTTTTGAAAGGATTTATTTATTTATTTTATTAGTTTTAAAGGAAAAAACTCGAATTAGCAACATACCACGGAAACTTCATCTCCAATAGCATACCTCCCAGTGTGTTCTTTCAATAGCTTTTCAAGTGCTGAAACATATTCAATTGTAAATACACTGTAGATTAGATTAAGCCAACAACACTGAAACTTGCATCTAGTAAGGAAACTTGTATCTAGTAAGGAGGGACATAAAATTAACAGAATATTTCTAATTATCAGTAAAGGGAGGTTTGAGATTGTTAACATTGTTCTCTTAATGATCCACTATGATAGGCAATAGCCTGAGGTGAAAATTAGTGTGCGTTTTCCATCACACTCTTCGTTACCACGGACAACCAACGGTAGTAAAAGCCTTTTCTCAACTGTGGTGATAGATACTTTTATAGAGGTGAGTAAATTGACATTAACTATAACATAATAACTTATGCTAGTATCATTATTAATCCCTCTCTAGAGTAAATTAGTCTAACCTCACCTGTAAAGCCTTTTCTAATTATACTCTGAACCCATGGAAGTTTATCATCCCGGCTAACTCTTTTATCGATGTACTTCTGCAAATAGAAAAGCAAAATAGCGACAAACTTATCATATATAGTAGAAGCCCTCGAAATGAATAAGAAAAGAGGCGACATACATGCATACCAGAGTATCTAGGTTTTGAAGAGGTTGTATTAATGAAGAAACAATACTCACAGCCTGTGAATGTGAATCAAATCATTAGAAAGGAATCCATTTACCGCATGCAAAATAAGCAAGCAGTAGTGCAATATGTTATTTGATTTTGGAAAAAGAGATTAGATTTGTACCTGGAAATTGATTGCTCTTTTATGAATATCAGTAGGGAGTAAAGGATATTGAGGATACTGATGATGCTAAAGTGTCGTGCTTATACTTCCAACTTCATAGCAAGATAGATAATAGACTCGAATAATAGTCATAGGGGTTGGTGAGTATTTTATGGAGTGATCCAGAATATCTATAATATAAGAAAAATCATTCTACCCAAAAAAATCCTATTTTGTCTTTTTGTTCCAAAAACAACACGTGGATAGCTTCTTTAAAAACTCTATAATTTCTATAGTGGTCATGACAGTTACAATCATCACGCTACTGTTTAATTTTTTCTCAAATCCCTATTCTTTCCGATTTTTTTCTCAAATACCTACTCTTCATCTTATCGATTCCTATTCCCTTCCAAAATCTTTCCGTGCAACATTCCAAATCTTTACATTCTTATTCTTTTCTCAAATCCCTATTCTTCATCTTCTACATTTCCCCTTTTCTTCGTCATTTTCGTCAATTGTAATTTCTTAGCGATGAGCATTTTCGTTGGATGGTGGTGGTCAGAGTTGAATGGCAAACAACGAACACACCGACTCTCGTCAAATTTTCCAGGTTCGGTTTTCACTTTATTGTTTTACATTCATTTCAAATTCTTCATATCCTTCCGTTTCCCCCTTTTCTGATCATGTAACCATTCATTCACTATGATTCGTTTTGATTCACGGTACCGTTTGCGTGTTCAGATATGTAAGTCTCAACTTTTGGCGTCGAAGAATCAAAGGATGGTGTTGGTGAAACCAGAACTAGATTATAGTAATTAGCAATTGCTGCGGTTTGATATCTGATTCCCTCATCATGGAAATCGAACTGAGTAGTATTAGTACTAGAGGAATAGGTTTTGATACCATTTTTGGTTACACTATTAAGCCATGTCATTCCAGGCTTCAACTTTCTGGTTTGTCTATTGTTCCCCGCAACTTTGATTTCTCAGTTATTCCAATTTTGATTCTGATTTTATAGTTCTTAATGAATAAAACTGAAATGCACATGATGAAGATATTAAGAATCTTATCCCCATTATTCCAATTTTGATAGATGATGTGGATATTTGAGAAATACTACTGCGAATCATTTTTTAATATATTCCTTTGTTATTGGAATGATATATCCTTACCAATTTATGTTTTGACAGATGCTGAGGTCTCATTGAGTGTGTGAAAGACATCAAAGGATCGAAAATTGAGAATAATAAATTTTGTGTAATTACCACAATGTCGATGAGAAGGTATAGGCTCAATTTCTTATATTCGATTAATTTGTTGCAACATTGATCAATTTTTTAAAAAACTTATCGATGTTGCTGGTGTTTCCTATTACCAGTCCAATAACGATAGATACAGTGCTGATGCGTCTGGCAAGATGCCTCCATTGAGTTGGTTATGCGTTGCAGGCATGTAACTGTTCCTGTTGTTGACCTAATTTTTATTTACGGTGGTTTACGTGGTGGTAAGTCAAATCTAAAGTATGCTCACTTTAGAAAGTATCGTGAAAAATTAAATACTAAGTTATATTGTAGATTTCAGTAATTATTATATTTGTTCAAAATAACTTTTGGCGGTGTATGTATGTCTATACGAGGAGACACACAAGGGGTGAAATGGGCAACACAAGTTAGGGTTGTTTTGCATCTTGCAGAAGCTCTAGAATACTGCACAAGCAATGGGAATGCCATCTATCACGAACTCAACAAAACCTTACGATCAAACTTGCTATCATATTTCTATCAAGAAATGTATTAATCTTAAAGCATTGATATCATATTCTTGAAAGAGCACCGTGAGTATCATATTTTTAAGCATTGATATCAATTATTGAAACACTCACTTACCTTTCTTTCTTCGTTTTCAAGGTTAAAATTCACAACACATAGACAAATGTTTATGTTTCTATTTCTTAGTCTCAATGTATAGCTTAAGGTTTTGTTATGAAATTACTCACTACAGTGATATTTCTTAGCCTCAATACAAGTTAAGAGTTTGCTTCTTTAATTACTATAAAAATTCATTTATTAGGATATTTAGAAACCCTCTTGACATGCTTTTCGGCTGAGATTAGAGACAGTTGAACCCTAATTTATTTTAAACTATCAACTTTATTAGGATTATTCAGTCCCTGGAGCATTAAATTGTGTAGTTTTCTACTGATCATAATCAAGTTGTGACTATGTCCAAGAGTGAGTAATTTCAATGATGGTGCATGGAGAACAAAATAGAGATGGTGCATTTTGCCAGGCCCCGATAACTTTATGAGAAACCAAAATAAAGGGTAGGAAGATGCAATGTTGTTAACTGTTGTAGCTGCAATATTTGAGGCTTGCTGGGCCAAGTAAGTATATGGTTACATCTGCCATTTTGTAATTTACTTAAAAATTCTGCGATAGGTATTATTGATTTATAATCGATATGCTAGATTTACTGCAGTGAGCCCTGGAAGTTGGAAATTGCCTTCTTTTGCCAGCATTATGGATTCTTTGAGGTCATTACTCAAACCCCTACACCTCAACTTGGTATTCCAAACATGCCACCTCTCACCTGAATAGCTGGAACGCCGAGTTGTTCTTCATGTACATACACAAAATTTTATTGGTTTTGATGTCTAACATAATCACTCTTTTGTTAGATGCATTTGATACTGAGAGCAACTTGTCGAGTCGAAACTCTGATGAAACTTAAACCTGAGGGTGGTTCCAGTAAGACTCCATGGTCAAATAATTATAATAATGCGGATAAACCGATGAGTGTATTAATGCTTTTGAATGATGATTTAGGTGTATCACAAGAATATGGACAACATAATACCATCTTCAAGAAGGCTTAGGTGTATCACAAGAAGATGAAGAGATTGCTGTTGTGCAAGAGCAGGTAAGGCAAATAAAGACCCAAGAGGAGGAATTTGAAACCTTCAATCTAAAGATTATGCACAGGAAAAACAAGCATGTCTTCAATATATAAGCATGCTTACTATTTTCATTGATCTGCAAAGTATTCAAGTTTTTTAATAGAAATTAAGACGAGTTTTTGAACTAATGTGGTATTAGCTTTATCCATCCCTACATTGTAATTTTAACTTCATATTGAGAATGTTGTCTTTTTAGCTCATTTTCTCTTCGCTTATGAATTTCCGATACATTAATTTTTAATCGTTTGTAACATGCATTCTTTTAATCTTCAAACTCTAGCTAAGCATGAATATCTCGATTTGTTAAGACAATGTTAAACTACAATGGCACGGAGTATCTGGGATCTACGACATTCGGTAAAGCAATTCAAGCTCATGACCTGCATACAGGTGTGGATGTTTGTATTAAAATTATAAAGAACAACAAGGATTTCTTTGATCAAAGCCTTGATGAGATCAAACTCCTCAAGTATGTCAATAAGCATGATCCCGGAGACAAGTATCACATTTTGCGGTTATATGATTACTTCTACTATAGAGTAAGCTATATTGTATTCACTGCCGATCTTATTAACACTGTCACATGTTCCTTTCAAAGTGATGTTGAGAAATATCTATTAACTCAATCATCTAACTTTTCCACTCACCATTCCTTTATGTTGTCGCACTGCAGGAACATTTGTTAATAGTATGTGAGTTACTCAAGGCCAACTTATATGAGTTTCATAAATTCAACAGAGAATCAGGAGGGATATTTACTTTACAATGCTAAGATTTCAGGTTTATTGGGTTCTGTGCATATTTTGTTGTTTTTTGTTTCTGTTTTATCTATAACTAGGGTGCATACAGACACTGACATGTGGGGTTCTCTGTCTTTCCCTAATAAACGAAGAGCAATATGATATATGTTACCTTTCATTTTAACTTTTTAACTTTTATTTACAATTTTACAATAGGCTATATATGCTTATTTAAAAAGGGATTAACTATTGATTCTACTACTGTTACATTACAAATGTGTCTTGATTTGTTTTCGCACGGATTAGTTACGGGGTGAATAATATTCGTCCAAGAAAAAAAGTTTTGTTACTTATAGTTACATTTTAAGGTTATGTTTTTGTTTACCTAGGGTTTTGGTAAACAACCGCTGATCCTCCAAATGGTTACTTATTTGGTTACTCGCAGGATCGATCAGATTGATCCTATGGACATAGGTTGATTTTGAAGTTTAATTAAGTTGGATAAGGCTTTAAGTAAATGTTTAAAGTAAGTTGCATAAAGGAAAGGCTTGGTAAAATAAACAAGGCTTTAAAGTAAAGGTTCGACAGGAATTTAAAGGGGAAAAGCATGTAAAATACTGGAAAAGTAAATGACTTTAATTGATAAAATTGGTGTTTCACACATACATTTCTCAACAATTCGTTCGCTCACACTGGGTACTTGAATCTAAATGAGTGACTATGTATTTATTGTGAACACCCGCGAGAAACTACATGTCTACTCCTATTTATACAAAAACATTCCAAGTAACCGTCGGGCAGTTACACTGCTTCGAGATCAAGCCACTTGGCACGTTCTCCATGCTCGACGCTCCAGATCCTTGCACGTTTGCACGTAGTAACTGCTGGAAACCGTTTTCCCTCCAAAGCTTTGAATTTCAAACTGCTCCACTCTGGACCATCGAACACCTTCATCAAGAGACGTCTTCGACGACTACTCCTTCGACGTCGAAGGCAATCAGCCTTCTTCCTTGGAAGAAATCTTCTAAGTATTTTGCCATCTTTCGACGGGCACTTCGACAGGCTTAGCCAGTCGAAAGCATCTTTCAGCTTTTAATGGCTGCCATTAATCAAAACAAAGGTGTCGAATTTAGGAGCCAACAAATTGCCCCCCAAGAATGCCTTATTTCGACTCTGAAAGAAAAAGGCATTCTTTGAAAACGCCATTCGACACCTGTTTTTCCACGCTTAGTCACAAGTTAACTTGTGCACTTTTTGTTGCTTTTTACCAACTATTGGCAATCCCAAGAAACCATCATTGATTTGATCCTAGGACGTCACTGTCAGTACGGCGTGCAGTACCAAACATCACTTCATAATTTGTCATTATGACAAATCCCAAAAACGAGGACGCACGCTGCGTCTCTCTGTTTCTGCAGAAACGGCCAAAACAACAGGATGCTGCCACGCGTCCCACTAATTCCTGCAGCATTAAATGACATTTAATGTCCTCGTTATTGGGAATTTCTCCCACTGCTATAAATAGTAGTGAATATCCCATTTTGGGACTTTTTACGCAAACTAGCCCTCAAACTCCCTTGCTTTCATACAAACTTGCTCTCTTTGCAGAAAAACTCTTCCTTTTTCACTCCATCTTCATCTTCAACAATGGCCTCTGCTTCTACAGCCCCCAAGACTAACGCACCAACTGAACAACTTGCTAAGCCCAAGGTCTTTGTTACTGCTCCGGTAGTGAACGCTACAGGGAAACGAAGGGTCCCTGAACCTTCTGACATCTCCGTTCGCGATGCCTACTCGCGTCACTTGATGATCCCGGTTGGGTACTCCAACCAGATCTTCGCAATGTCTGGACCCATGAACCCAAGCATCTCTGAAGCTCTGAAGATCAAGAGCTATTTCCCCATCGTCGAGAAACTCAAGCCAGTAGCATGCGCCAAGAAGGACGCAGAAGACAACGAAGACCCTACACACGAGAAGGTTGAACCGTCAGAATAAAGGTCGCTGTAAGAAAGCCTAGGCCACCTGCAGTGGTCATCGAGGAACCAACTGAGGAGGAACTGAATGCTCTTGTTACCAAGCCTGTCGAAAGTGATAATTCCAGCCCTGGGGCTGAAGTCAATCCACAGGTAATCTATTGGACCCTTCTTATAACTTAGGCACAGATACCCGTATTCAATTATGTCTCTTTCGACATCTGAAGATTTGTCTTCTTTCTCTTTTTTAGGACACTACTGAAAGTTCTCCACCAAGGACTTCAGAAACTCTAGAATCTGCTGACCTTAGCAGGCCTCAGGTGCAAGATTTGGGCAATGATGAAGCCCACACTGAGAATGAGGCCAATGCTGAAACAGTGGAGAAGACAACAGAAGAAACCATGGTGGAGGCAACACAGCCAGAAACGGTTCCTGTGGTGGACTTGTCGTCAGAAGAGAATCCTGAAGGAAGAGATCAAGGCAATGGCGAAGAGAATCAAGATGCTGTTGACGAAGGGCCCCAAGGTGGTACTGGCGAAGAACACCAGGGCGACGCTAGCGAAGAGCCACAAAATGACGCTGGCGAAGGACCCCAAGGTGATGTTAACGAAGAACCACAAGTCGACGCTAGTACCGCCTCAGTCCAAGTCGAAAAGCAACCAAACGAGGCACTCAGCATTCAAGAGCCTCAAGCCCAAGATAATACTGTGGCAAGGGTCACCTCCTCAAAGCACAAGTCGAAAGAGGACTTGGAAATCTTGAAACGAACTGATCCTGTCAGCTACCTCAATGCAATCATCGAGAGTAAGAGTTCTTCTGACACTAGCCAGGAAATTCCTACCCTGTCGGGGAAATCTACTGAGACTTCTCCTCTTGATGATGCACTGGCGAAGGTTAAGGCCCAGTTCTTCAAGAGAGATTTAATGAAGACTTTGGAAGGGGACCCCACTGCTCCATCATGCTTGAAAGAGGTTTTGAATGCTGTTGACTTCGAAGCTGTAGCCCCAGAAATCTCAGACTTAATCATGGAATTACATTCTATGATTGATCAAGTCTCAGCGGATTACAGGCGCCAACGAACTTTTAACAGTCAGCTCGAAGTGCTGCATGGCAAAAGCTCATCTGCGTGGACTGCTGTCTCAGATTCGACTTCTCGAATTGCCGAGTTGTCGAAACAGAAAGCGTCTGCACAGGAAAGGGTCGATGCTATTGAGCGAGAGAATGTCTCCTTCCGAGCACAAATTGCAGAGATAGAGGCGAAGATAAACGCCAACACTGTGCTCCAGGAGGAAATTCTTTCGACCATCCCAGACACTGAGAGCCAGACTGAGATCAAGCAAGGCCTGGAATTCACTGAGAGGGCTCAAAGCCTCGACGCTCAAATTGCCAAACTGGTGCAAGAAAAATCTTGGTGCAAAAAGAGGTTGGAGCTGCAGTATGCCAAGTATCTTCGACTCAAGAATTCTCTTTCCTTTTGATTGATTCTCTTTTGTAACCATCTTCTGTAATCGTTTTCGACAACAATTGCCATTTTGGCTGGAATTAATAAAATTTCCATTTTGGCATTTTTATGGTTATTTTCGTTTGTTCTTTTATCATTTTATTTTTATCTCTTGAAGTATAGGCTTATATTTTTTCAAATATTTACCATTTACTCTCAAGAGCCTTTTATCACCACTTATCTCTTCGACCTCATAGGCTCCACCAGAAAAAGTTTGGATAACTCTGAAGGGTCCCTCCCATTTGGGTGACCATTTCCCCATGCTTCGATCCCGTCGATCCATGGGAAGAATTACCTTCCAAACTAAATCTTCAGGCAAAAATACCTTAGGTTTTACCTTTCTATTATAAGAGTCTTCTACTCTTTTCTTCTGAAGCCTGAGTAAGTCGAGAGCGTGTAATCTCTCTTCGTCTAAATCCACCAATTCATCTAACATCATATTCCAATAAACCTCAGAAGGAATATCATAATGCCTCTGAACTCTTGCAGATTGAAGACAAATTTCTGCTGGCAACACTGCATCATGGCCAAAAGTTAGCCTATATGGCGTTGTACCAGTGGCTTCTTTCGGGGACGTTCGACAAGCCCATAAAATCTGGTCTAACGTCTTATGCCAATTCTTTGGTTTCTTCCCAACATGTTTCTTTATCAAGCCAATTACCACTTTGTTAGCTGCTTCGACTTGACCATTCGCCTGTGCATAGTAAGGCGTGGATGTTAGGAGTTTGAAACCTGTTTCCTGAGCAAATTCCTGCATCTTTCGACCAGTGAAAACTGAACCTTGATCAGTTGTTATTGTCTCAGGGATTCCATACCTAAATATAATGTTCTTTTGAATGAATTCAATGACATTTTCTTGGTCTACATTGACTAAAGGGACAGCTTCGATCCACTTAGTAAAATAATCAATGCCTACCAATATGTATTTCTGACTCTTTGATGACGCTGGTCGAATCTCTCCAATGAGATCCAACGCCCATCCTCGAAAGGGCCAAGGCTTCACTATCGAGTGAAGTTCGCTTGCTGGTACATGCTGGATGCCTGTATGAACTTGACACTCTTGGCAACCTTTGGCGAACTCAACGCAATCTTTCAGCATAGTGGGCCAATATAGTCCTTGTCGAAACAACAACCATTTCATCTTATGGCCTGCTTGGTGAGCCCCACATGCCCCAGCATGCGTAGTCGAAAGGGCTATGTATGCTTCAGTTTCACTTAAACACTTCAGCAACACCCCTTCAGGCGTCTTCTTGAATAACTCATTACCCATGAGTACAAAACTCAACGCCCTGTATTTTGTTTTTCGTTCTGTCGGAGCTCCTGGATTTCGAAGATAGTCCACAATGGGTTTCCTCCAATCTTGCTCTGACAAATTATCAATGAACGAAATCTCGAAGTTTGAGTGATCAGCATAACCTAGCCTCGTCGATTCCAAGTCTGTTGGTGATAGACAAGTTGCTCTTATCTTCTCTCGAACTTCGATTGCTCTTTGTAATCTCGTTTTTGAAATCTTATACCCAGATGCAATCTGTGCCAAGTCATTGGCTATTTGATTTTC